TTATATCCCAATGTAGAAACCCTCTTCACCTTCGCGGGTTAAAGACGTTTTAGAAAAAAAAGACCAAAGCTCAGAGAACCCCAAGGACTCCACAGTTCAACCCTGAGCTACATATATTCACCTCTATTGGTCACAAAAGTGTCACGGGTGAATATGTACGACAGTTTGGGTCATGCCTGGAGGTTCACGGGGCTGAGACTGCCTGGAGCAAAAAAAAATCTCTCCAACAGCTTCTGGAACATCCCACCCGTCTGCAGCAAAACACAGAAGGACTGTCCCCTGGGTGCCATTCCTGCTCGGTGGCCTTGGTCAGAAGAAGAAGTGTTGAGAAGGAAGCAAGGGGAATAAAGGCAAGGCTTGAAAAAACATCGGTCTTTCTTCGCGGCCTAGAATTCCACCAGTTAGGTGGGCAGTATTGACAGTATGAATAGCGGCTGGGTTTCTCAACCTTGGCGACTTTAAAATAGGTGGACTTCAACTCCCAGAATTCCCCAGCCAGCATGCTGGCTGGGGAATTCTGGGAGTTGAAGTCCACCTATCTTAAAGTGGTAAGGAGTCCACACACACACACAGACTCCTTACCACTTTAAGATAGGTGGACTTCAACTCCCAGAATTCCCCAGCCAGCATGCTGGCTGGGGAATTCTGGGAGTTGAAGTCCACCTATCTTAAAGTGGTAAGGAGTCTGTGTGTGTGTGTGTCTGTACGTGTCTCTGTGTGTGTGTGTATATGTATATATATATTGTGTGTGTATGGATGTGTGTGTATATATAAATATATATATGTGTGAATATTTTGTGTGTGTGTCTGTGTATGTGTGTGTGCGCGTATATAATGTATGTGACTCTGTGCGCATGTGTGTATGTATGCATGTATGTATATGTGTGTATATAGAGAGAGAATGTGTGTGTGTGTGTGTGTATATATGTGTGTGTGTATATATATGTGTGTATGTATATATATATATATGTGTGTGTGTGTGTATGTGTGTGTGTGTGTGTGTGTGTATATATGTGTGTGTGTA